CCCCATAGACTTCAAGGCAGTAAACATAATTCATCCACTTTTTCTCAGTCTTACCCCCACCCCGATGTCAGCCTCATTCTACAACAGTGGCACCATATAGCATTTGTCCCTTTGTGACTGAGATACCTCACTCAGCATCATGTCCTCCAGGGTCACACATTTTTAGTAATATTGCATGAGTTCCTTGTTTTTCAATGCAGCATAGTATTCCATTGTGCAAATATACCACAGCTGCTCTAGCCATTTGTTTGTTGATGAGCACTTAGGTTGTTTCCAACTCCTTGCTATTGTAAACAAAGCTGTGATAAACATGGGTATGCATATATCTACTTGGATGTCATTTATGGTCTCGTTAGGGTATATTCCCAGTAGTGGAATTTCTGGGTCAAATGGTATCTCTATTTGCAACTTATTGCGTTTTTTAAGTTTGGTTCCCTATCTTCCCACACTCTACCCAGAATCATCTACTATGACCCCCCTTTTTAAATTTTTTTTCATTGCTATTTTAACAAACGTTTACGGAAAACTTGGATTTCCATTCATCATTGTTGCACATTGTCCTCCCTACCCTCCCAGTTTGCTTTTCTCTTTAAAAAGATTCTTTCATTGTTGCACAGTTTCCTCCCTTCCCACCCCCAGACCACTTTGCTATGCATCTCATATTCTGGACAAGTGGCCAGTGGTGGTAGAGAGACGTCGTCTCGGCTTGTGAAAATAGAGATCCACTGGTTTTATGAACTCTTTGAACTAAAGGTTTCAGTACATCTTTGCATCTGCTTCTTTCTCTTTGCTCTAGACAGGGAGAGATCAAAGCCTGCACCTTTGTCCCTGTTCACAAACTTTGAAGCCCCAGTCACTGCTCACCAAAGTAGGATTAGAACATTACCCTTTATGGATTGCTTTATTCCATTTGATCCCAAAGCCCCCCAAGACTGTGGTTTCAAGAACCCAGAACCGGAAACTCTCTCCCTCATGCTGTTTGGTTATGATTAAAAAGTTTCTATAACTTTGACCCCCGTTGGCACTGCTACATACATGCATGTATTTCTAGCATATCTTAATAGGAATGTAGGATGTAGAAATATAATCTGTTGATAGTATATTCATGTTTATGTACAGTTATTTACAAAGTTCTCTTGGCAGATGGATAAGACATTTATATAAGCATTGTTTTTCATTATATATTGTGGTATTAATTATTATTCTATTTGGTGACACATAAAAACAGTAATTGCTCAATCCATTTGTTTGTGGTTGGACATTTGGGCTGTTACCATGTTCTTTCAATGGTGAATAATGCTGCTATGAACATTGGTGTGTAAGCCTCTCTTTGGGTCTCAGCTCTCATATTCTCAGGATATATTCCAAGTAGTGGAATAGCTGACACATATGGAATTTCTAGGTTCAGCTTTTTGAGGAAGCTCCAAACTGGTTGTAAAATGGTTGTACCATTTTGCAATCCCACCAATAATATATGAATCTCTTTCTCACCACATCCTCTCCAACATTTATTACATGCTGCCCTGTTAAACTTTGCCACTGTTACTGGAGATGGTACGTCATTGTGGTTTTGATGTACATCTCTCTTATTGCATGTGATTTGAAGCATTTCTTCATGTGTCTGTTTGCCATTCGAATATCTTCCTCTGTGAAAATTCTTTCCATGTCTTTTGCCCATTTTGTAATTGGGTAATTGCTAACATTTATTGAGCCTATTGTGTTTCCAGATACCATGCAAAGTATAGCTCATTGTTAACCCTTGAGATTCCAGTGTTATATCATTGTTCTATTTTAGAGAAGTGGAAACTGAGGCTTCTGGGGTTAAGTAATCTACCTAAGGGGAAAGGTGAAAGTTAACTGATATAATGAAAGCTAGAGAGTTTCTGTTTGCCATGATTCCTTTGTTACTCATCAATTCTCTAGGCATTTGAGAGACTCCTATTCATTTACTGTAGCTAATTATTACTGATACGCCCTTATTCCCCACTACTAACCAATTATTTCTCAAGGTAATCAGGGTACCTACTTGTTTCCTTAGGGATCTGAGGCTCCAGCCCCAAGCCCCGTGGGAGACACTGTGTCTCAGGCCTCATTGTGTAATATTCAATCTGCACCACCCACATCTGCACCACCCACATCAGCACCACCCACGTCAGCCACTTCGGTAAGTAATCCCCGTGAACACTGAGAAATGTTAGAAAAACTGTTCTTCTTTGTATGCATTCAAATTTATTTACCATTTTGTTCTGACACAATGAATTTTAAAAATATGATATAGTTATTGTACCCTATTTTTTTGGACTTCAGAAGTGTGCTAGAAATTCAGGGTTGATTTAAATCTTTTAAAGTAAATTCTACAAACTGTGTTTTCTTTCATTTTCTGAAATCCTTTTTCAGTGATGTCTTGATCATCACGCTTTCTCATTCTGCTGAATCTGTTGAGTCTGTTTGAAGTTCCACAGATCACTTAATGTACTGTTTATCTTAGTAGAATCATGTGCACCAAATTCATTCTGATTCTTCTCCTGACTACAGAAGGCCACATTGACTCCCTCCCCTCTCCTTCCCTTCTCTATGTATTGTTTTCTTTCTCTATAATTTGTATATATGCATGATATTTAGCTTGGAGGGAGTCCAACCAGGGTATTCCTTATCTCACATACTGTTGGTAGGTCGTCAGGTTGTACTAGTTGTTAGAAAAGGACATCATGCTGGGAAAAGTAGAGGTAGAGGTCAGCTCAAGAGAGGAAGACCCTGAATCTGATGGATTGACGGTGGCTGCACCAATGGTCTTGAGCACGTTAGAGATTGTGAGGATGGTGTAGGGTGGTGGTGGTTGTTAGGTGCCGTTGAGTCAAAGATGACTCATAGAGATGCTATGAACAGTGGATCTGGACCCTGTCCTATCCTATACCATCCTCACACTTCCTGACTCACAAGAGCCCACTGCAGCAGTCACCATGTCAATCCACCCGGTTGAGGGGCGGCTGCTTCTCCTTTGCTGACCCTCCACCTTTCCCAGCATCATGTCCTTCTCTAAGGAAAAGCCCCTCCTAGCAACATGCCCAAAGTATGTGATGTGAAGCCTCACCGTCCTTGCCTCCAAAAAGCACTCCGGCTGCACCCTCTCCAGGAGGAGAGGTAGTCAGGGTAGCTACTTGTTTCCTCAGGGATCTGTTGTCCATACAGTGTTCAGCACTCTTCTCCAACACCATGACCCAAAAGCATCACTTCTTCTTCTGTCCTTCCTATTTATTGTCAAGCTCTCAAATATACAGCAAGTGATATGTCCAGAGCAGGGGAAAGTGTTAGTCTGTTGTTCGTATGCTATGAGTCAGAATTGACTCAACAGAACCTGGCAACAACAAAAACAGTGTTTAGCTAGGTGAATTTTTGTTTTCCTTTGAATTCAGTGAGTTTTGCTTCAGTAAACTATAATAGCACTTGGCTTACAAATAACATCTGACAGAAATGTTTCAGTACTGCACACTTTTGTAAGTCATACTTTGATCAGCTGACTTTCATCATCAATTAAAATGTTAAAGATGTCTTACAATAGCCTCTCTGATTAAATTGTTACAAGAACTCTATATAGTCTAGTACAATGGATAGGAATTAGAAATTGAGGGAATTGTGCTGGGGCTGACCTAGAATAATTATTTGATCTTTAAGAGTTTCAGCTGAGGGATATGACCCTGCTGCCAGCTGTCTCTTTTTTTTCATCAGACTTCCCACAAGCTTACGGAAAGAGGGAACACAAATGAGGGAACCTTTAAGCAAGAGGATTTAGGGAAGATTTGAGATTTGAGGGTGAAAGGCAGATCACACTGGGAAGAAAAAATAGTGCGATTTTCCTGGATAGAACAAGAGCTGAGGACAGGCCAACATAGAAGTGGGAAGCACTTGGTGCACTTGAGTTACGTGCATTTGGTAGTGTGAGGAAGAATGGCCTTGAAGAAGGTTTGGGAAAAGGTTTATGGTGCTGTGATGTGAGTGCTTCCAGCCAGGGCTGTCACTGTGCCCTTTGCAAACATGGACTTCGCTCCTGCCTCAGAAACAAGATGACCTTGTGTTTTGGTTTTAGGGGTTTCACAGACTTACATTGTGAGTGTCAGTCCACAGGCCATGATGATTGTAGAAAGAGTGAGGGCAGCCATATCTGACCTCTGCTAACTCCACAAGAGGAATCAACCCCACTCAACAGCATCTACAACACAAAACCAATTCCCATGAGGTCAGACACAACTGTCATGCTGCCATGGCTATGTCTACTGATTCCAACACCAGCATTACTGTTCTGCTGAGTCTGAAATCCATTGCAATAGCTCACAGGCCATACAGAACCACTCTCACGATTATGAAGTTTACTAGGAAAGTTAACAGGATACAGTTTCTCAGGACAGCTTCTCAAGTGTGATTGTAAGCCCTTTTACCTTGAGCCTTGCAGCTTTAGGCCAATGTTACAAAACTCTCTTAGTCCTGCCATTTATGGTGTCTTTCCCAGGTTCTCCAGCAAGCTGGGGCAACGACCCTTGGTTCTGGTTCCATAGAGTAGCAGTACCAGGTCCAGTAGGTCTCACATCGAGTCTCTGGCTCTCTGCTGTGGCTGTTCCTGCTTTCCTGTAGATCTGGTTAGCACAAGAATCTCTGGCCCTGAAGGGCGCACTCTGCATTTTCTGCTTCTTTGCTATGGTGAGAGTGTCAAAATCTGCCACTAATTTAGTGGCAAGACTAGCCAATCTCCTTGTAGATGGCTGACACACCCTATTTGCCTATCACCTCCAATCCATGTGACAAAGTCAAAGACAGTCCGTGGATAGGAAAACCATTTTGAATAATAAGCCCTTGACATGTGCACAGTCCAGAGACATCAAGTGTTTGCACACAGGCCATGAAGCCTGGAAAGACATTGGTGAAAGAAATAGGACCAGAGGCAGTAATTAGAATCCAAAAGACAGTAACCAGCAGAGGCAGTAATTAGAATCCAAAAGACAGTAACCAGCATTCCAGGGCTGAGCCACTGTGACCAAAATATGCACCACCTACACCTGCCTGGGTAGAGGATTCTTGATCCTGGCTGTGGAGAGTAGAAAATATTATCTTTTTAAGCTCATTGTTGTCATGTGAAAACTGATTCAGTTTATCTTCCTGTAGGTTTTCCTGAGGTTGTGAATTGCATAGGTCTGTGAGAGAAACATTTCACATCTTTCTCTCATAGAACCACTGGTGACTTCTAACCGTAGAGAGGTGCTATCTTTGGGGGTTAACAGGACAGCGCCCTTGAAATTATACTACCAGATGTAAAGGACAGAAAAATAAAGTTCCTGTTTTCTCATTTCCTGACTTTCATTGCTGGACCTCTGGCCACCTACTTCAGCTACAGTTGCTAAGATTACAGTTATATTGAAACAATTGGCTATTTTGGGAAGTGACACCCATGGGAGCCAGAAAGAATGGCTAAGGAATGTGGTGAAGGTCACAGGACTCCAGAGAAGCAGGGACTGAGAGAGAGAAAGAGAGATAAAATTGTTCTCTCTGTGGTCTTGTTAATAAAAAAGACAATGTATTGACGAAATCCAGTGACAGAATGAAGCACTACAAAAATGGATGATTATAGCCTAGGAAAGAGTTTGGGAAGCAGTGGTCTCCAAAGATTCTAGAGCAGAGATTAGGGGAGAAAAAAATGAAAGTCTTAGCAAGTGACGGGGATCAGGTAGTATCTCAGATTGCTGAGGAAGACTTAGGCAGTAGGACACCTCTTAAATTTTAGATGTTACCCCATAGAAATTGTCTGGACCTTGTTCCCGAGAGGAGAATCAGTAACAGTGTTCAACCACCAGATGGCGATAGAATGCTTTCTGCTAAACCACCTGCGTGTTTTCTTTGCAGTGCAGTTTAAAAGGAAAGCAATTTTTCTAACTTGGAATTAAAAGTAATTGAGGGGAAAATGGCAAAGTCACTCAGGAAGTAGTGGACAAATCTGGTGTGGTTCTGGTGAGAATTGAAGGAGATAATGAAAATAAACTACCTGTTGTTGTTGTTGTTTAATGCCGTCGAGTGGTAGACGACTCATAGCAACCCTATGAACGAACAGCCTGAGCACTGTTCGTACATAGAGTTTCCGGAGGCAAGCCATTTTGGAAGTGGATGCCGCTCCTGCTTCCAGACTTGATTTAGTCGGGAAGCTCCAGCCAACACTGTCCACCATGGGTGCCCATTACCATGATTGGCAGATCACTGTCACAGGCTTCAGCATCACAGCAACCACGAGTTACCTCTGTACAGCAACGCACAGACCAGTGCTATACCACCTAGAAGAATGTTTGACAGGAAGACAATTTGAACCTGAAGGCCGCCTCCTAGTTCAAACCCTAGGCCCAGGCTGGCTAGCCTCACTCCAGGGACAGAGCAAACCTGCACGTCAAACACATTCCTGGAAAAGCAGTTGACTCCAAAAGCTTGCCACGATTCCTGCACTCCCACCACCACGCTCCTGCCTTCTGGCATAAACTACCTAGAGAAATGTAAATATTTCCTCTATTTTCTTTTTCCAATAACCTAATAAGTTGGTTTATATTGGATATTGTTTTTGAAATTGTTAGATATCTCATCAGCTAACTACACTCTAATACATTGTTTGCTTTTTTAATTTTTCTCCTGTGCCTTGTACAATTGCTTTATACACTTAAGAAACAGGTGTGTGATACTTGAGTTCTTAGTTGGTTTCTCAATATTTTTCTTTTTTTCTTTTTTTATTGATTTTAATGAACATTTACAGAGATTTTGGATTTCCCTTCATTCATTGTTGCACTTTTCTCCAGCAAGCTATCCCAAACACTACACAATATTTTTATTTTTTAAAACATTTAATTCTTAATATAAAATTTCAATTTGGTTTATAATCTCTTAACATATATTGTTGTATCTGTAGTTGGGGTTTTTTTTTTCTCCTTTATCACCTAAAATTCTCATTCCAAGTTAGGGCTCTATTATAGACTATGTGCTTGAATTATTGAGTAGTCTAAACAAACGTATTAAAGATAGCAATTTCCTTTACCCCTTTCTTTTTTAACTTATTTTTTATTGGTTTACATACTAGATTTGTATACATTGTGCTTTACTCATATACACTGTGCCTCACACATGCCTTCATTCACATTGTGCTTTATACAATCATTTATATACATTGTGTTCTATAAAATCAGTCACCATTGATTTATGTCTACCATTACCCCAGCTTTACAGGTCTGAATTGAGACTTTCTCATTCCTTCACCACTTTCCCAATCTACCCACTAAACTCAACTATCCTAATTATAATGATTTTCCCCTCTCCCCGTTTTCCACCCTCTTGCCCACCCCCCTTTTTGGACTTTTTAATCACAAAGCAGTTAGACTTTGGTGGGTAGGTTCTCCTGTTTTAGTTGAAAGTTGGGCGTAAACTGTTAGGTGGTTTGTTTACAGTCAGTGAGTTGATTTGATTTATTGGATTTAGCGCTCAAGCAGCTGTGGGCCGGAAGCCTCTTGTTTAAGAGTCAAGAGTAGTGTTAATTGTGTTTGGAAAAAACATTCTCCTAAGTGGTACAGCACCGGTCTGTCAATTTTCTGTACTTTGGTAACTTGGGGTTGCTGTGATGCTGAACGCTCTGCCACTGGTGTGTCAAATGCCATAATCATTACCCATGGTGGACAGTGTTTGGTGGAGCTCCCAGATTAAGACAGGCTTGGAAGCAGGATTGGCATCCACTTCCTAAACAACGTGCCTTTGGAAACTCTGTGAACATTAGAGAAACTATGATAGTTATAGAACAGATCTTTTGTTCATAGGGTTGTTATGAATCATGTTCAACTCAGTGGTACTTAACAGCAACAATGACAACTATCTCTGAGATTAGATCGATCGATAGATAGATAGATAGATAGACAGGTAGATAGATAGCTGGCTAAGTTATGTAAACAGTGAAGATTCTTTTATTCAAGTGTGAGGTCATAAATCACTGTATTAAAAACACCTTTTGAGACCCATTAGTTAACACTTTTGCTTAACAAAACCCAGGAGTAGGAGATCCCTGTGTACTGCCACCCAAGACCTACATAATAGAAACAGCAATTGAATGAATGGCACTTATCCACATTGTGTTTGAGGAACTCTTATTTTTTCATTCTGTAATTTTTGTGGGGTTTTTTTAAAGTCCGAGTCACAAATTGTTAAATTGATTTCATGAGTCACTGACAAATGCATGGGAGCTCTGGTGGCACAGTCTGTCGGGAGTTACACGGCTAACCCACGGGAGATGCCTCTTTGGTATTTCAAATCCACTAATGGCTCAAAGGAAGAAAGAAGGGCAGTCTCCTCTGGCAGTTTACAGCCTCAGAACACCCCCTGGAAGGTCATCTATGGGTTAGTTGTGACTAGATAGCATTGAGTTTTTAGTAAATTAATGGATCAAGGAGTCTTTGTAGCATAAGAATGCAACACTCAGCTGCCTACCAGAGGTTGCTGGTTTGAACCCACCAACTGCTCTGCAAGAGAAAGACCTAGAGATCTGCTTCCATAAGGATTTCTGCCTAAGAAAACCCGTGGACAGTTCTATTCTATCATGTAGATTTACTATGACTCAGGTTCAACTTGATGGCACATACCGACAATTAATGGATTATGACAGTTTAGCTCTGGTCCTTTTTAGCCCAGATATGATATCGTCATTATTTTCCCTTTATAGCCTAGTTTGTATATCTAGTTTCATTTAAATCCCGGAGTGACTAGACCTTCTGACATCGTGAAGGAACACACTTCATTTTGAACAGTGGAATATAGGTAGACTGTCTCCATATGCCTCTCAGGTCAGCCCTTTCACTGACAGAGTCGACTGAAGAAGCTGTAAACTCACTTTGAGCAGAAGAAACTCCCTGGAGAAAGTATAGACTCAGCTTGAGCCTTCTCTCTTGTGACAGGACAGGCCATTTCACAGAGATTTTGAAAGGACGTTCTCTCATGGGCTGTGTTCAGAGTCTTACCTTTGCTCTCTGTAACATGATCTTTATAAAAATCACTTTAGTCTGTCCTGACTTTCAGCTTCTCCTCATCCCATTTCCTTCCTTATTTCTAATCCAAAAGATGCTGGGTGAGGTCTCATAAATTTATCTAATATTATTTAAATTATACACACTTATGTTTGGCACAGGACATTTGCTTTTTTAACCTTTTTGAGATTATTTTTCTTTTTTAAAAAAAATAAGTTCTGGCGCGCTCTGGTGGCCTAGTGGCAAGAAGGTGCACTGCAATCCCAGAGGTGAGCAGTTCAAATCCACCAGATGCTTTGCTGGAGAAGGAGAAACAGTCTCCTCCTGTACCAGTCAAATCTGATTTGGTGGTACACACACACACACAAATAATAATAATAATAAAAAGAAAAAAGTTCCAATTTAGTTGATACATGTGTGGTTCTTATGTACTACTGGAACCGGAATATGCCTTTTAGAATTGATTGATGTAGTCTGCTTTAAAAGGGGTGACTAACACCAACTCAGGATGTCCGCTAATGTCCTTCTAGAAGGGTGTTATACCAGATGATGCTGTGGACCGCTTGGCTGGCAGCCTGGGGAAAAGGGAAGCTGATCCTGAAGATGGAAAACCTATAGTGGATAAAATCAAGGTAACAGAAACCCAGATCCTTGTAGAAAATAACCATTGGTTTAAGTGAATGAATTGTTCGATTTTGTGTGAAATATAACCAGGTGGCTTTCTTTATTACTGTTCATCTTCTGTTCAATAATTAAAGCCTGAGTAAGCATAAAGGTTTAACTACAACAGGGAATGGGGAAAGAACTCATGAGTCAGATTTCCCAAGTCTCCCTTTTGCTGCCTGTGTTCACCTTTCTGAGGACTCCTGAGGACAGTGGGAGGTGTCCACTGCTTTTTTTCAGCCCAGCAGACTGAACTGGGGGAAAAATTAGGTTGCTGTGTGATATAAAGCCATATGTATGTTCTCACCCTAATTAATGATGAATTATCTCAGATCCCCTTCTTCAAATGTCTGTCTCTTTTATGGAGCAAAGGTTTCTCAAATGAAAATGGTACACCTTTTTATTCAGGAGAAAGCCAAAGAAGAAGACCGTGAAAAGCTTGGTGAAAAAGAAGAAACAATTCCTCCCGATTATAGACTTGAAGAGACGAAGGTAAGCAGGCTGAATTTCTGTTTTTTCTTCGGTTTAATTTTAGTATCCCACATGACATAGTCCGTAAGAAGTTGTTCCGCTAACTCAAGGTGGTGCCTCTTTGTTGGTTCAGATCCACCCAGAGCTCGCAGGAGTAGATGAACAATCACCTCCAGTGACCCCAGAGACCCAACGGAAGGTCCCCTAGAAGCCGTTTCTTACTTGATAGCAAAAAGTTTGCATTTTTTTTTAATTTTCATATATAGAAAACAAAGATCTAGAAGTAGAATATAAAGATCTCGTAATAGTTCAGAGGCCCAATGGTATTAAATCTGTATCATATCAGAACCCTACTATGCAGCTTGAGTATACCTGCCGGCTTTTTACCCCTTTCTTCTTATGTGAAAGAAAGCTAAGGTCTAAGCCACTCCACTCCTCCAGACAATGAGAGAGCTCTCCCTAGGCCCCTCCAGTCCCCTAAACAGAATTGACTCTTTACCTGTTTTTATCCTGTCATTTTATCAGCTGTTCACATGTGTTTATCCTGCAGTTGTTTGTGGACTTGGATGCTTGGAAGAATATATGGAAGGATTAAATGACACATTGTTTATTTGTTTGTTCCTTCTCTATGTAGGATAAAGATGGAAAACCACTCCTGCCGGAAGAGCCCAAGCAAGAGCTGGCAGTAAGCAAAGCCCACTTCTCTGAATTTATCTTTTTCATTTTGTCACCTGGTTAATTTAAAAAGGAAGTAGATTTCCTTTAGTGAATTGATCAGCATGTAGAGACTTCATTTTGAAGAGGAGATGAATGATAGATGGGTGATGTCTGTTGATGTATTTCCCATTCTTACAGCCCATGAGTGATGACCTCCTATTGGACGCTCTGTCTGAGGACTTTGCTGGTCCCCAAAACATGTCAAATCTTGTAAGTCTGGAACTCTTTATTTTACATCCTTCTGCTTAGGATGGTGGAAGTAAATGGTAACCTGGGACTTAGACACTGACCTAAGAGCTGAGTTAATGACCCTAAATCCACCAAATGTTATTTCAGGTCGGTGGTTGTCTTCAGCAGTCTGAATGACTGAACCAGTGAACGTGAACTTAAATATCAAACCTGTTTTGTGAAAGTTTGAGTTTTAGTTTACCCAGTATTACTTCTCATACGGTAATTTCCTCCTTGGCTATTTGCATAACTTAGCATTTCTTTAACTCCCTCCCAAAGAGTTTAGCTACAGGTAGAATAACTCAGAGATCCTTAGAAGGAGATTTGGATACTAAGAGAGCCTGTAACTGCTGAACAGTGTCTGTGCTAGAACTGTGTAAAGGTTTTAGGTGCGCACTTGTATGCTAAGGCTCCTGGTGTATCCCTAGGGAGCCCTGGTCGCCTAGTGGGTGAGGGCTTGAGCTGCGAACCCAAAGGCTGATGCTCCACATACAGCAGTTAGTTGTTCCTGGTGAGGCAGATGGGTGGTCCCCTCCTGCGCAGTGTGCAGCCTCTGAAAACTCGGGGAGGGATTAGCTAGGAGCCAGTTCTGACTCCACAGCAGTAAACTTTTGTTGTTATATACTGTGGAGTTGGAACCGACTCACAGCTGACCCTCAAGCACGTTTGCAGAGATTATAAAGTGCATGAGAGGCGATTGCCCATGTTTCTCCTGCGGAGCAGCGGGTGGATTCTAACCATGTGTCTAGGCCACCAGAGTTGTTGAGTGTTTCCCAGACTTAGATGACTGCACAGCCTCTGTGTGTGTGTGTGTGTGTGTGTGTGTGTGACACACGCACATCTACTAGGAAGAAGCTGCAATCCTGAAGGTGTATGGTTTGATTCTACCAGCTTTTTCTCAGGAGAAGGATGGGCCATCTCCTCCCATACAATTAACTGCCTCCAAAAACCCTCCAGAGGGTCAGCTGTTAGTGGGTTCTGAGTCGACAGTATACAACAACAACAACTCACCTTTCAGCTACTGAATTTATTGTTGGAAAACAAACTTACAGATCCCTAGATGGGTAATGGCATGGAAACTGGTCACTACACCCATAGACACACCTTCCCACCATCACCAGCAGTTCAGGCTCCCCATTCTATGACGTTTATCTCATCCTTCTTACACACTGACCACAACACAGAGTCATTCCAGCACTGATTCATACACTGTGAGATATGGAGCTAAATACTGGGAAGAATATAAAGCAAGCAGTGTCCCAATAGTAAACAATCATACCATCAGTGATTGGGAACATATGATCAAGTCATGGAGGACAGTGGCTTAACCTCGTGCTGGCTGTCATTATTATTATAATAAGGTTGCTTGTTTTTATAAAGACTTAGCATTTAAAATGTAACACTGAATTTATCTGTGCCCCGGCCAGCACTTAAAGATAGTATAATGTGATGGACCATTAGAGAGAACACTCTTTAGAAACTCTACTCTTAGAAAATTTGATAATCTAGCAAAAGAAAAAGAAAAACTGGATTCAGAAGAGGCCATGGCATGAGGCTGTCTAATGTACGATGGAGCCTGCTGAATGTAGAGAATACCAGATGTTTGTATGTGTTTTCTTGACTATGCAAAGGCGTTTGACTGTGTGCAACATAACAAATTATGGCTAAAATTGAGGAGAATGTGGATCCCAGAACACTTAATATACTTATGAGAAATCTGTATAGAGGCCAAGAAGCTATTGTGTGAACAGAGCAAAGAAACAATGCATTGTTTAAAATTAGGAAAAGTGTGCATCAGGGTTGTACCTTTTCTCTATAACCATTCAGTCTGTATGCTGAGCAAATCATTCATGAAGCTGGACTCTATGAGGAGGGATGTGACATCAGATTGGAGGAAGACACATCAAAAACATATTATGTAGAAAAGTGCAACAATGAATGAATGGAAATCAATAATAATAATTTTAAAAAGTATTTAAAAAATACTTAGGGAGATGCACAACCTTGTTTGCAGAAAGCGAATAGGACTTGAAATGGTTGCTGTAGCAGATCAAAGTCTATACATCTCAACATCAACAAGAGAAAATTTTTGCCCTATATGCACCATCATGATAGGTGGAGAAAAGATTGAAGTCATCAAGGATTTCATTTTACTTGAAACACATGGCAGCAGCAGTCAAGAAATCAAACGATGTGTTGCATTGGAGAAATCTATCAAGGACTTATCCAAAATACTAAAGAGCAACATTATTGCTTTAAAGACTAAGCTGTGTCTGATCCTAGCCATGGACTTTTCAGTTGCTTCCTGTGCATCTGACGGTGGGTCAGTGATTAAGGATGAGAGAGGAATTGATGCTTTTGCATGGAACTGTTAGGGAACAGTACTGAATATCCCATAGGCTGCCAAAAGAACCAGTAAATCTTGAAGTAAGTCCAATCGGAGTGCTCCTTAGAGACAAGGATGGTGAAACTTTGTGTCACATACTTCGAGCATATTTCCAGAAGAAACCAATCCTTGGGATAAGACATAAGGCTGGGAAAGAGGCAGGGATTCAGAGAAAGATAAGGAGATCCTGTAAAAGAAGCAAGGGAATGTTGTGATGACAGAGGCTGAGAAAGAGGCAGGGATTCAAAAAAAGATAAGATCCTATAAAAGAAGCAAGTCAATGTTGTGATGACAGAGTCCAACCACAGCTCTACAAAGGGGTACTGTCCCCATCAATAACATCAAATAGAAATCTGATCCCCATAAGATCAGACATGACCCCCTATACTCTTGCACCTACTTCTGATAATTACTGGGTTAAAAATTAATTGCCAGTGACTCACAAATTTGATTTAACTCACAATTGTTTGGTGTTTAAGGGGATAAATTGAGGGGTGGGTTGGCAAAAGATAGCACACAGTGAAAATTCAGGCTTAGTAAACAGCAGTCCTAAACCAGATTAACAGATTAAGACCCAATTCCTCAATTAGTTCAGATAGACTTTCAGTCAACAAGTCAAGTTTAGGTTCATTCCAGCAAATACAAGAAGCCTCTGGTTTCTTCAGTGGTCCTGTAAACTGTTGAGTCAGCTTTTCCTTCAGTTGTACAGCAGGCAAGACCCTTAACTCTTGCCCTGTCAAAGGACTGCATCAGACTACACCTCTGCCAGAGTCTCTGGACAGCCAGCTAAACTCTCTCATGTTGGCCTCATAGCTCTTGAAGATACTGATTAACAAGTGAACCATGTGTCTGTACTTAAGACAGATGGAGACCATTACCCAAGAAGGGGCTAAGGCAATGGCCAGAAAAGTCATCTTCAGAAGTCTTAACACTGCAGACTCTCAATGAGATGGATTGACACAGTGATTGTAACAGTGGGCCTGAGCATATCAGAGACTGTGGGGATTGGACGGGATAGGGAGGCTTCAGAGCAGTTCTTCATAATATTCGTATGAATTGTAAACAACTCAGTGGCACCTAACAACAGAAACCAAATACATTGTTCATGTAAAATCTCTAATTAATATGGCTGAAATAATTAATTACCATGAAAATTAAGTCTTAAATAATTAAGACGGTTGGAAGAAAAAAAATTCCTAAGAACATTGAAAATAAAATGCCATATATTCGATGAACAGAATGTTTTAAATGTAAGAGAATAATCATCATACATTGCAGTTACTTGGATCAGTAGAAAATAGAGCTTTTCTTAAGTTAATACTGATGTTATTGTTATCATCCTCATTTTAGAGAAGTGGAAAATAACCTACGTGAGGGGGAAATTAAATTGGAATCAGGTTAGCTGGAGACTGTGTGCTGTGACTTCTTTGTTATCAACAAATCCTTTGAGAGAATCATGTTCATAGCATGCAGTGCAGCACAATTGTTGCTGGTACCCCATTTTTCAGTGCTGTAGTTGTTGATTGCCGTCAAGTCAAGCATGACGCATAGCGACCTCATGAACAAAAGACCTGAAGCCTTTTGAAAGTATAGTTTCTCAACTATGTTGTTTACTACTAAGTATTTCTAAGGTTAATCAGCGTACCTGTTCTTTCCTCAGGGATCCAAAACCCTAGCCCCAAGCCCTGGGGGAGAGACTGTGTCTAAGACCTCCATGTGTAGTATTCAGTCAGCACCACCTAAGTCTGTACCTCCCAAGTCAGCACCTCCCACATCAGAACCACCCAAGTCGGCACCACCTAAACCAGCTACCTCAGTAAGTAAGCCTGTGGGTGTTGAGAAATGTTTTGAGAAACTTCTGTTTTCCCCATGTATGTGTTGCTGTGTTTGCCATTTTATTTTGGCACAAGAAATTTTAAAAATCTGGTATAGCTATCCAATTTACTGTGTTTTGGACTTACTGTTTCAGAAGTTCAGGTTAGATAGCAGCTCTTTAAGTTCTGCATACTGTTTTTTCTTTCACTTTCTGAAATTCTTTCTGGTTCCTTGAGTATTTTTAGATAGTCATATTTACTCTCTTCACTACATCTTTTGAGTTTATTTGAAGTTCTCCAAATCACCTATATGAACTCTAGTGGGCAAGTCTGTAGAGAATTGCACTGGTAAGCTAAAGACCATGCCTCCAGGGTTTCAAATCCTCCACAGACTGGCAGAAAGATGGGGGCAGTTTCCTGTCATGCAGTTTACCACCTTGGAAACTCAATGGAGAAGCCACTGTAAGCCAGATGTAACTCAGCGGCAATTTGTTGCGTAGTTTTGAGCTCTGGTGGGATAGCCTACAGGGAGTTGAACTT